AGGCCGTCTTCTCGTCAAACACGACATCACACGTGACAACCACCTTGCCTCCTCGTGGGTTGTAGAGCCAATATGCCTTGGTACCTTCCTCGTAGCCCAAGAGCACCATCAGTGTGCTCCTATCCTCTAGCTTGGTGAAGGACCGGCTTCGTCTTCCTGACATGGCCGATGTAGCCGAATGTTTGGAGGAAGGACATGCTTGGCTTGCGTCCATACCAAGCTTCGAACTACGTCTTGCCCTTCAGGGCCTTGGTGGGCGCGCAATTGAGGATGAACACCACCGTGGTTACCGCCTCACCCTAGAACCTTAGCCGGCATGCTCTTGGCCTTTATCGTGGATCGATCCATGTCGACCACCGTCTGGTTCTGCCGCTCCACCACGCTATTTTGCTGTGGCGAAGTACGGCGCGGTGTGGTGTCGCACCACACCCTGATCCACGCGCAGTACGCAGCGAACTCCACCAAAGTGAATTCGCCGCCGCGATCAGTCCACAACACGCGCGGCTTCTTGCCGCTCTCCGCCTCCGCGCGTGTTTTGAACTTCATGATCACCTCCATCGCCTCGTCCTTACTCATCACGAGTTGTAGCCGCATATAGCGACTACAATCATCCACGAGCAGGAGAAAGTACCACCGACCATCTTATGTGGCTGGCATGATTGGCCCACTGAAATCACCGTGGGCGAGCTCAAGAACGACCGCCGCGCGATACTTAGCCGCCTTTGGAAATGATAGCCTCCTCTGCTTCTCAGCCAGGCAGCTATCACATAGCTCGTCTGCGTGCTTGATGTGGGGCAGCCCTTGGACCATCTTCTCTAGCCGACCGAGCGCTTCGAAGCTAAGATGGCCGAACCAGGCATGCCACAGCCATGGCTCCTCGGTGTGTCATGTTGCCAGGCACACCGGATGCTCCACCTTCAAGTCGAGCAGGTACAGCCGGTCTAGGATCTCCTCACCATGGCAAGAAGCCGCTGATCCCGGTCCTTGATCCTGAGGACGTCATCCTTGATCCGTAGCTCGCTACCGCGTTCATCCAGCTGGCCAATGCTGATGATGCTTGAACGCTGCTGTAGGATGTAATATACATCCGTCAGCGCACGGTGCTCACCGTTCTGTCACCTGAAGATGATGGTGCCACGTGTAGAGTGCGTGCTCGGTTGCGCACCGTGTGAACCCAAGCTCACCTAGCGTGGCGTCAAGTTTGGCATTCCATGCTCGCGGGCCCTACCGCAGCCCGTAGAGCGCCTTGCGCAGTCGGAGCACCCTGTGCTCCGCTCCCTTGACGGCGAAACTCTGAGGTTGCCTGACGAAGACCATCTCCGCCAGCTCGCCGTTGAGGAAGACCGATTTTATGTCCAGGTGATGGACACGCCAGTTCTTCGCTATTGCCAAAGCCAGCAGCAGTCGGATAGACTCCATGCGCACTACCAGCGCAAAGACTTCCTTGAAGTCGATGCCCTCGCGCTGGACAAAGCCTCAGGCGATGAGATGTGCCTTGTGCTTGACAATGGCACCGCGCTCGTCCCGCTTGACCTTATACACCCACTTCAGGTCGATTGGACGACATCCTGGAGGTGGATCAATGAGCTCCCAAGTCTCATTTTACTTGATCACCTTTATCTCCTCTAGCATCGCCCGTCGTCAATTTGCATCGCGCTCAGCTAGCACGAACGTGGGTAGTCCTTCTGCACTGACGAGAAGCAGATCTGGGTCATTGAGCAGCCGTCCCGCTAGGCCTGAGGACCCTGTGACGTCGACGATGTCGTCCAGCCTGCGGAACCGCACCTCCTCATCATCGTAGAAGGCATCCATGAACTCAGTGATATCTCTTGAAGGTGAGGCGAACTCGATCGGCGTCGATGGAGTCCCCTGTTCCGCCGTAGTGGTCGGCACAGCACCTGGAGTGCATAGCACCCCGGCTGCAGTGCTGGGCACTACTTCTAGACCGCTCGTCACCACACCTGGAGTGGTCGGCACCCCTCCTGGAGTTCTTGACACCAGTCTTGAAGTGGTCGGCACCACTGCAAGACCTCTCGGCTCCGCTATGAGAGCGTTCGACACCCGTCCTGGAGTAGTCGGTACCATTGCAGGACCGCTCGGCACCACTCCTGGGGTGCTCGGTATCGCCCCAGGAGTGCTCGGCTCTGTTGCTGGAGTGGTCGGTACCTCCTCTGCAACGTCTCCACCACCGTGGATGACCAAGTGCTCGACGACGAAAGTGCTGGTGAAGCCGCCAGCTACCCCCGAGCCTGGACTGTCCTAGTCCCAGGCCACCTTCTCGTCGAACACGACGTCGCGCGAGACAACCACCTTGCCTCCCCGTGGATCATAGAGCCGGTACGCCTTGGTACCTTCCTCGTAGCGGTAGAGTCTTACCGCCTATGATCGGAAGGTCCTAGATTCGAGTTGCAGTCTCCTCGCATTGCACAGGCGAGGGTAAGGCTTGCCACTGACACCCTTCCTCAGACCCCACACAGAGTAGGAGCTCTCTGTAATGGGTATTAATCTGTGAGACAAAGTGTTCCAGAGATGAACTGACCTATTAATTTTAGGCAATCTGTGGGACAAATGGGCAAGAGGTGCCTTTGGACGATGATGCATAACGTACCTGTGAAATAGAATTTCATCAATCTTTTTGCCTTTTGCCTCAATGTGTCCGAATATTTTCCAGTTTTACATGTATGCTACTTATGATGAGAACACACATAGTTCACTGGTTTCTCTTGCTAGAATGCAAGTACTGGCATCACATCCTCACTTTCGAAAACTTACAGTGTAACTGGCGATCTGTTGGGCTTGAGTTTATCTGTTAGAAGGGAGATGACTATAAATATTTAAATATATGCCTCTGATCTGATGTAATAACTAAGACATGGCCTAATCATTGATGTTCATGTAATAACTCTATTGTTCTTTTGTAGGTTGGGAGTTTTCTTGCAACAGCTGAATATGACTAGGAGCTTTGATAAGATTATGTGTGTGGGGTTAGGTATCAGAGATGTATCAATGTGTGATTTTCACTTGTATGAATGGAAGATCAGTGAAGCGCATTTGATACATGTATGGACCGACAACAGTTCAGCGTGTTCTAGAAATTTTCATTGGGATATACAAATCTGTGGCCCACTTAGATTACATTGAGCTGCTGCTGATCTTCTGAATGTATAAGATTGCTGTGTGACACATGTGTCTACACTAATTTGTAGTCATTAGGGTTCCTAGCCGTTTTTCAATTTTGCTTGATTACTAAAATATACATCTTCTTTTGGTAGTTTGTGAAACATTTTTTTATCTACAGCAAGGTATGATCTTTTTTTTTTTGGGGTCTTTGAAGAAATTTGTCAATTTTCACTATAAAGGAATTTTCGATCATATGTTTATTTGCATCTTGGATGTTGAGTGGTAAGTAACTTGCTAAGTTGTAAATGCTAAATCTTATGCAGCAAACTGTGTCTTTTGGTTGTTTTAATTTGCATGTTTGAATGTTACCATGGCGTTAGCACGGGTACTATACTAGTACAAGTAGGTTCCCACTGAATTCCGTCACAACTACCACGTTTGGCGATTGCATGCTAGTATGCTACCCTGGGTTTCTGGCAATCCCTGCATTATCTTGTCACTAATTCGTCTTCCTTTTAACCATTTTTACGGAGCGCGCCAAATCATCTCCCCATGGTTCGTGGACACAGCTTGACCATACCTCTCTCGCCACCGGTACCATTGCTTGAGCGCACCTCCCAGCAAAGCCAGCCCGCGTCTCCCTTACCACCTACCCTCATTGTGCTGCTAGTCCTCCCCGCAGGCCTCCTTCATGGCCTCCTCGTGCGCCTGTCCACCTCAAGTTGTGGCCCGCCCATCCCTGTACCAGCAAGGCATGCATCCCTGCGCTGTCTGTATAACTCGAGCCGACGGTTGCCACTTGTCTTCACACTCGTGCGATTGTCGACTGGTGAAGAAGATGGACTCTAGAGGGGGATCGAAAAGGTGACGAAGTCGTTTCCTCATTTTCGTGGAACGGGAGTGGTCCACATATTAGGGCAGCAAGGGGAATATTTCCCTCATGAACCGCTATCGCCCTGCCTCCTTCTCGTCCCACAAACCAAACACTTGCTAAGGGTATGAGCTCACACTAATTTATATATAAATTCGTATGCTAGCAATTTCATATGAAATCAATTTAGTTTTATATAAAAAACCCACAGTAACATAAAAAATATCGTGTTCCAAACTGAGCCTCACGCTCATGCCGCCAGGTGGTCTTCCTATTCAACTCCTAAAAAGCCCCGTGGTGTACTTTGAAAAGATGCAAAAGGAGGACCTAGGTGGTGCGGTGACCGTAGGTCTGACCCACGGTGGTCGTGCACACGGTACAACAGGCACAACCGTTGAGCCGGAGTATGCCGAATGCCGCCGCTGTCTGTCGCGTCCGGACCTCAGACCAGGACCGTCTACGTTTACGTGGTCATACCAAAGACTCCCGTCGCCGACGCCACCACACAAATCCAAGGCCAGGCGCCCAGGCCAAAGCCAAGCCCGGGCCTCTCTCCGTCCCGTCAGATTCCCCTCGTCTCGTCCTCCTCCCCAGTCCCCACCCCCATCCGCCCATTCCTCTCCCAGGCAGCAAGCAGCCCGCAGTTCCCACCCACCAAACCAACCTCCACAACCCTCCCCCGTCCTCTTCTTGGCTTCTCCTCGTTCCTTGTTCGTCCCCAAAAGGGCAAGAGCCGACGCGAGCAAAAACCATCGGGCTCGGGAGGGAAGGGAAGCAGTAGCAGCACGAGAGCTGCGCGGCAGCCATCCCGCAGCTACTCCAAACAGCTACGTCCTAGCCGACGAGAGCCTCCGCCACCTACCCCCCAACTCCCTCCCGTCGCCTCCCCTTGGCTTTTCGTCGAGCAGTTGGTGGGAACCTAACCCCAGTCTGCGGGCGGCTAAGGCGGGCGGGGAAGCCAGCGACAGCGAGCGAGCGAGCGGGAGAGTGAGCCACTGAGCCAGGGTCAATGAAGAAGCTGTACCAGGGCGGCAAGGGTCGGCGGGTGCACCCGGCGCCGGCGGACGCCGCGGCAGCTGCGGCGGCCGTGGCGCTGCCGGCCGCCGTGCTGGCCCTGGCGTCCGCGCTGACGGCCGAGGAGCAGGAGGTGCTGGCCTACCTCCTGTCCTGCGGCGGCGCGGCGGCGGGCGGCGGCCCGCGCCGCCGCCGCGGGCCCCACCCACCGGAGATGGGCTGCGCCTGCTTCGGCTGCTACAAGAGCTTCTGGGCGCGCTGGGACGCGTCGCCCAACCGCCACCTCATCCACCGCATCATCGACGCCGTCGAGGAGGGCGGAGGCGGGCTAGGTGTTGGCCCCCGCGCCCGCCCTCCCCGGCGCCGGCGCCGCGGTTGCCGCCGCGGCGGCGACGGCGACGCTGCCGACGACGACCCCGCGGAGACGGGCCCTGCCGTGGACCACCTCCCGGGCTGCGACGGTGGCGCGGGGATGGGCGTGGGCATGGACCACCACGGCGAGTACGAGTGCGACGGCGACGAGGAGGAGGAAGAGGGGGGCAGCAACATGGACGGCGACGGCTACGGGGACGGGGACGACGCCTCGGTGGCCAGCGAGGGCGACTGCAGCATCGGCGACGGTCTCGGTGGCGGCGCCGAGAAGAGCACGGTGGGGAGGCTGGTGCGCTTCATCGGGGAGAAGGTGTGGGGCGCCTGGAACTGATCGGGCTGGCCCACCTCCGCCGCCGCTGCTCGCCGGTTCTTGTAGATTAGGTGAAGGGAGGAAGGAGGAGACCACCAACAAGGAGGTGGAGCTCTCGTCAAGGTCAGTACCAGTAGTAGCTGTTTTGATCAGGGGGCGCCTCTGCTCCACGCCCTTTTCATCTTCTTGCTTTTGTTTAATGATGAATTTCTTGCACTCTGATGAGCATGTGAGGATTGGAGGGTGGGGGGGCTAAAGATTGGCATTATCCCATCCAATTTCTGAATTTCACTTCTCTTCTCCCCCCTCCATCCTCCTCTGTACCATATTTTTGCTCCTTTGGTTCGGTTCGTTCAGTTCAACAATGAACTTGCAAGAGAACTCCGTTTCCCTTTTCTGCATGGTGTCGACTGTTGCTGTTGTGTACTGTAGTACTCGTGATTCATGTGCGCTGAATATCGTCAGTATTTGATTCTTCCTGCCATGAGGATTGAGGAGGATGTTTGTTTAGCGAAACTTTTTTTTTTCATAAAGCTTGGCAATCTGAAGAAAGAAATTTGGGAGAAAAATATTGTTTCGGATGAAAAAAAAAAAACGAATTAAGCCGGAACTAAGGCCACGCGACCTCGTTGTCCACTTCTCCCCAGCCTCTGCTGCCTGTGCCAAGGAAAGGGTAGCACAGCATCGCTGCAAAGGAACTGTTTTTTTTCTTTTTCTTTCATTCCTTCCACACAAGCTCGTTGTTAAGCAAGCGTGTTGCCTGCATGCATTAGTGGGGTTCCATCTCATCCCCCTGAATAATGCAGATCATGCTGCTTTGATTTCGTCACCTCGAACAGATTGTGTTGTGCTGTGTCGTGCATCTCTGCTCTCCTCCAGTTCTCCCCCACCAACGGACTTCCAGTTGGCATGTTCGGCTGATACTGAAGGCAGCTGATGGGTTGGGTCGACCGAAGCTGTTTTGCTATGAAGATATAAATATTATTTTGTTGTATGAAAAAAATATTATAAATTTTAGCTAATAAGCCGGCCAACAGGCCTAATCAAATAAAATCGTGATGCTGCTCATATTTATTCAATTCAATTCAATTGTTAAATAGTCATGGAGGAGGTGAAGCTGATGCAAGAGCCATTTCCATCAACACTTGTTTTTCTTCGTGTCGAAAGGCTGAAACGGAACAGCACGTCTCATGCTGGTTTCTAGGCACCAAAAGGAGTGGTGCCTTTCTTTGGGCCTATTCGCTTGTCTGAATTTTGGAGGAATTTGGATGGTTTGGAAAAATGTTGAAGTAATTTATGAGAGAAAAATGCTATTTTGGATGAAAAAAATAAACGGATCAAGCCGGGTTTAAGAGCACACAGACAGGCCTTTGTTTCCTTTTTTTTTTCATCCCCCGTGGTAGTTTTCATCAAGTCGCTTTGGCTTTTGAAACAGCGGTGCCGCCTTTCGTTGGAGGAGCGCCTTGCCTTTTGGACCAATGATGAATGAAGAGATTTTTTTCTATGTGTTATTATAAAAGATTGCAATCCTTTGTGTGTCTCTGAAAAAATTTAGTGGTCTTTTAGCGTCACTACTCTAACTTTTTTTTGGTTCCTGCGTGCCACTTCCGTCAGATTCGAGCCTTTGTAAATAAAAATGCCGTTCTTCAAGTTTTTAATTTTTTTAGTATCTTAACGACTTTAAAAAAAAAGGCAGAAGTTGTATTAAATAAAAATATGATGATTTTCTAAGATATATTAATCATATCAAATCATTTTTTTTGCGAAAAAAAATAAAATAATTTTTATATGAAAATTATATTATCTCATATCTACATATTTTTCGTGGTAGTTTTTTCATTTTAAGTCGTTAAGATGCTAAAAAATTTAATAACATATTTGAACTTAAGGGCATTTTGCCTTTTTCACACCTGTAGCGAGTGCTGATTTGAAGTGGATCAAGAGAAAAAAATTAAAGTAGTGACGCTGCCTGAATTTTTTTCGTAAACACATGTTAAATTACGATCTTTATAATGACTATGAAAAGTCTCATGAAGAGACCGGCTGCTGCTCTGTTCCATTGGAAGGCGCGAAAGGAAGCGTTGGAGCTTCCCTCCCGCACCGCGCCGTGGTGCCTGCCCACGGCCATTGGCATTCGCTACTCGCCTACTCCTGTTGGGAGCAGAGCAAAGGCGAGAAAAAAAGGAGCTCGCTACCATGCCTGCAAAAGCCAAAGCGAGCCCCCGTGAGCCGTCGTATATTTGGCTTTCAGTCTCCAATCTACTCACACTTACCATTGCCAAGGGCCCCAAGGACGTGTACTCCACGAAGTTGATTCCTTTTCGCAAATAGCCAAAACACGTTGCATTGCAAAGTTGGTGCAACTTTTTTTTTTGTTTAGGAATCTAACTAGGTTCGTGCAACTTTCATGGAGGGATTTCCCTCTCCAGGCCTTAGCTTTGCGGAATCTAAATTCAAAATAAGTCTCTAACATAATATCTATAGCAAAGTAACTATATGAAAAACCTATTTTAGGTGCCAGAAGAGTTATAATTCAAATCTGAGTATTTTCTCTTCTAAAGACCTATTTATAGAAAAAGTTATCTTTTGGGTCTTGTTGAAGAAGATTAAAAATATGTATCGAACTATTTGTCTATAACCCTACCAAAAGACTCAATGTGTCTTGTATTTTGGATATTTTGGGTCCCGGTTACCGGAGACAGTACGATACGGAAGAGGAGACGAGCAGTAGTAATTGCGTAGCACACTACTAGCACTGTAGTATGAGCAGTGCGTAAGCAGGTGCGCGTCCATTGGCCCAGCAAAGCTGGTGTCACTGTAGCGCCCGTCCGGCTCGGCTCCAGGTCACTGCGGACCTGCGCTTGTTGTTGCGCTTGGAAAGGCGAAGCGAAGCTTGATCGATCGATGGCAGTGACACTGGAGGCACTGGCGTGGCAGCAGCTCGAGGACAAAGAAGCAGGTCGAGTGATGACACGCACAACACGGAATTGATGGCCACATCCAATGCTCAGCGCAGTCAGTACTACGGCAGCACGGCCGTTGCTCCCCTGCTCTCTCTACTCCGCTCCGGGGGCCAGGGCCCAGGGCGAGGAGGAGGACGAGGGACGGCGAGGACCTGACGAGGCAATAAAGGCTGGAAAACATTTCATGAGAAATTGTTTGAAACCGATTCTCATTTTTGTCACATAAAATTTCTAGTTTTCTAGTAGGAGTCGGCTGTGGCCTTACTGCTGATTGCCGGGGCCATGTACCCGCGCAGAGCCATATCATCAATCAAATACTAGGAGTAATGTGATACTGCCTTGGGAGGCTGGTCATCACGAAGACACGCACCTTTGCTGCCTTTTTTATCATGTTCGTGGTTGTTTTTCATTTTTGTCACATAAAATTTCTAGTTTTCTACCAGGAGTCGGCTGTATTTTTACTGCTGATCAACGGGGCCATGTACCCGCGCAGAGCCATATCATCAATCAAATACTAACATACTGTGATTGTATGGAGTAGTAGTATACTCCTATGGAGTACAGTAGCACCAGTGGTCACTAGTCAGCAGTCACTGCTAGCACTTGTACAGTAGTATACCTACCTAGAAGTAGTCGCATGCTGCGCGAGGCAGCGAAAGGTAATAAGAAAAGAAAAATCGTGAATGGTAAAAAAAAAGGGTGGAGAGACGGCAACAAAAGCCGTAGACGTGGCGAAGAAGAATACTACGAGTGAGCGAGGAGGGTGCAGACTGCAGAGGCGATGCGTTGCGGGCGGCGAGCACGAGGACCGGGGCTCCGGACTTTGGCCTCTGTTCGCGTTGGAATCCTCGAAAGGCTGCGGCTGGGCTGGGATGCGTCGCCTTCCTCTACGGCCCTCTGCGGATCTCGTTCCTTCGTTTTCCGTCCCCAAGGCTGCTGCATCCGTTGCTCCAACCGCGCCGCGCCGCAGCTGTCGGAGTTAAGTGCGCGTCTAGATCGTGTCCAGGCACGCGTCTAAACACGCCCCCCCCTGATTATTCAGCCCCTTCAAGCATAAAAGATTCTCAAATCCTCTCTTCTACTTCCATTTACTACATATTAGATACAGGGTTTTTATTTCGTGTTGATGGTTTTCTTACTTTGCCATCTGTCATCCTCCCGTTCCATTCGCTCCAAACCAGTGCGCTCGTCCACCTCTCATCCAATTCGCGAATGGACACCCTTTGATTCAAACTCTTGCTGCCCTCCTCAGCCACTTACGACCCTTTTCTAGCTCGTCACCGTCGTCCTCCCGCGCTTGAATGCGCATGCCTCCCTCGTCGGTTGAGGCGGCCTCCATCGCAGCCGACTGTAAAGCCATTCACCATCATCGCATGACTGACCGTGGTCGGATCCAACTTTCCTCCCCAAGTCACCCCTCCCTTGCCCTTCCCCCACCTGTTGTTCATTGTCACCCTATGTCTGGCCATGAACAGATCTGACCTCCCTGCTGATCCCCCTCCCTCTCTCTTCCCTCGACCGAGCTCCTCTTCTCGTTGGCTCAACTTCGAGTCCCCTCTCACTCAAAGGTCCACATGTAATTATACACGCACAAGAAAGTAGAGGTTCTTATTTTGTTGGTACCGTTGAAGATAACAACAGAAAGCAAGTAGGGGTTGTAGTAATGCTAAAGATGCTCTTACTGCCTCCACGCGAAGAAGAAGAAATAATTCTTGTTTTATTAGAGTTTATAGAAAAGAGTTTCACATTTATGACACCAAATATATATATTATGAAAATATATTCATGAATGAATCTAATGATATTTATTGATATTATTTTTTTGTTTAAAGTTAATCAAACTCAAGGAAGTTTAATTAGCATTGTGCTAGAATTGCTTTTTTCCGGATAGATTGAGTACTCCAACAACTAAAAATAATGTGCGGTCCTCGAACTTACCATGGACGTCATTTGTGAACCATGACTTAAAAAAATACCTTTTTCACCCTGTTCGCTTGGGCTTGTTTGGCTTATAAGCCATACTTTTTCAACCAACGAACAGTAGGCTTATCAGCCAAATAAGCCCAAGCGAACATAACGTTTGTCTTAGGCCCTCCAAAAAATAATTCCTATCACTGTGTCACACTCTCATTCTCTCTCCCTTTCCCTCTACCCTCATCCTCTCCCCCTCCCCCTCCCCCAATTTGATTGTGGCCAAGCTCCACTCAACCATGGCTAAGCGCTCCTCCACCGTGGTAACGATCGAACTGACAGAGCTCCATGAGTGGCTTTCTCCACTACCCTCTCTCCACTTCCCATGTTCACCCACCAAATCTAGAGGCTAGGACGGGTGGCGACGCATATTTGAGCTGGTGCATGGTTGATGGTGCTCCATGGCCAACAAGGCAAGGGGTGCGCTTCGAGGGGCTACGGTGGGGGTTGGACATGATTATGGCTTTGGGTGGAACCTAACCAAGTGCGTGGGAAGGACGGTGGGGGCAGGGACGGATCTAGAAAATGTCTAGGGGAGCTTTTTCAACCTCCAGACAGCTTTAGCCTCTCCTTAAGGTGCATCCATGGCAAAAATTCCTAGGAGGGGCTATTGTACGGGGGCTCCATGGGTCTGGCGGCCGTAGGGGGCTAGAGCTCCGCCCGCCCCACCGCTGGATCCGTCCCTGGGTGGGGGTGTTGGTGGATCGGTGTAGGAGAGTTGTAGCGATTTGATTTGTCACGGCTGGCCTTGTGATATTCCTCTGGCGAGCTACCACTACCACATACTAGAGCAAGAGCGTGGAGGTGAAGGAGATCATGACGATGAGAAAAATAAGGAGGTGCGTTAGGACCATGAACAATGCAAGAAAAGAGATGGGAAAGAAAGCAGAGAGGTTGTCTAACATTTAACCACACATGAATGGTCAATGAGACCTGTTTGGACTCGTTACCCAAACACGAGTTTAGGGACCTGATAATAAAATTTTGTGAGTTATAAGATCTAAATGACACCTCGTACTCAATTTAGGTATGTGGAAATAATATATTATTGTATAAATTGAGGAAGTCTGATGACGTTCTTAAGGATCATCACCTGTGGATTTTCTCGTAAGCACGGGCGCATTCAGGTATCCTGGGCTGCTGGAGACCACAAGTACTGGCTACGGAAAGAACAACGTGGTTTGCAGCATAGGCATCAGCCGCAACACACGAAACTGTCCCATTCGTTTGAACTTATCAGACGGCTTATTAGCTAGAATTTACAGTATTTTTTTTTCACACCAAAATAGCTTCAGCCGATTTATCAGCCGGCTTACGTATCAGCTGAACCGAGCAGCTCAGACGACTCCAAAAACCAAGTGCCCCTGCGGCCACCATTCTTGTCCACATTTGCGCCTGACTAGTTTATGCCACTCCCGCGCGTCAAAAGCAGCCTCGGCATTCCCTTGCTGCCTTGTTTGTTTCGGTGGCGTGCTGCAAAGTACAAGAACGTTGCTCTCGGCCTCCTTGTCGTGTGGAGCGACGGCCAAACAATGCCGCTATTGGCACGTCCGCCGCTGCAAGCTTTTATACGAGCCGCCGTGTCGCCTCAATGATCGCAGTGTTATGTTCCAGCTCCCCGGTGTTCCAACCATTGCATTGCATGCATTGGCGACGCAGGTGACAATAATCGATCTCGGATTCGCCGTCACTAATCTCCGATCGTCCTCGTAGACTCCGATCCACGGCGAGGAACGAAGTGCGGCGTCGGCCGGCCGTCAAGGAGTGTGCAACTGCAAGTTATCGATACGTGGCTGCATGGCGTGGACCGTCTCCTGCTCGCGCGTCTTCGTCATCAGGTTCTCGGCCTCCTCCTCCTCGGGAGGCGGCGGCGGCGGGCACGGGCAGCAGCACCGGAGCAGCGGCAATGCCGTGAGGGTGAACGGCGCGGCGCACCGCGCGCCGCTGCAGGTGGGCGCGGCGCTGGAGACGTCCATCAACAGGTCGCTGGCGGAGCTGAGCGCACCGGTGCTACCGCTGCTGCCCGCCACCGGGGGCGACGGCGACGTCGGCGGCGAGGAGCGCAGCCGGCAGAACATCCCGACGGAGAAGCAGACGGTGGACCCGTTCCGGCAGGCGCTCATCGTGGAGGGCGGCGTGCGGTACCAGCAGACGCTGGTGCTCCGGTCGTACGAAGTCGGCCCCGACAAGACGGCCACCCTGGAGACCGTGCTCAACCTTCTCCAGGAGACCGCGCTGAACCATGTCTGGATGTCGGGGCTGCTCGGCGACGGCTTCGGCGCCACGCACGGGATGATCAGGAACAACCTCATCTGGGTCGTCTCCAGGATGCACGTCCAAGTCGATCAGTACCCGATCTGGTAAATTCACCGACCCATTGCATCTCGTCGTCCGATCCTGTTCGCCGGAGACGAGCGAGAGACCGGCCGGCCGTCCGCGCACCCACGTCTGCTCATGACACAGGCTTTAATTTTGTCCACCTGCCCCGTTGTTCCAGGGGAGAGGTGCTGGACATCGACACCTGGGTGGGCTCGTCGGGGAAGAACGGCATGCGGCGGGACTGGCTCATCCGTGGCCGCAACTCCGGCGACGTCTTCGTCCGAGCAACAAGGCAAGCCCGGGTCATAGAGGCATCGCCGGCCAGTGCTGAGGCAAAGGTTTTCTGATCTCCGATGATCCTTGCAGTACGTGGGTGATGATGAACAAGGTGACGAGGAGGCTGTCCAAGATGCCGGAGGAGGTCCGGGGCGAGATCGCGCCGTGGTTCATCGACCGCCATGCCATCCAGGATGAAGCCACGGAGAAGATCGTCAAGCTCGACAGCACCGCCATGTACGTCGACTCCGACCTTAAGGTTAGCTCACCTTGCTTACTTCGCTAGGTATGGAACTTGTCTTGCTCTTAACGAAGTTTTTTGTGATCTAGCTATCTTACTATCTTAGTTTCCGAGGCCAAAGTTGGACCAACGAGTCATAATTTAATACAAGTGGCTTTGTTTTATTCATATATAATTGTCTCGCACGTAGAACCAATAGAATTCATATCAACCGTGCTTCTCTTCTAATCATTCTTTTACTTCCCACAATCCTTATGCCCCTCCGTGTCCCATATGTTATTTGGACTTACACATGTGCTCACACGAGCTAGAGCAACGCACGTCCAACCACGGTACAGAGTCCGACATCAAGACGTGTCCAGATATATTAGAACAGATGATGCGGTCATTGAATAAAAATCTTCTGAGACATAAATCGTCCATGTAACCACGCAACAAATTGTATGTTCTGGTGCAATGCATGTGCTCATTTGCTAGACACGGTATGGAGTCCGGTTCCAAGACGCATCCAACAATCATCATTAAATAAATATATGAGCCACAAATCATCTACGTGACTGCAGAATAAGTTGTACGTTCCTTTACAACACACGGGCACATTTGCTAGTAGAGCAAAACAATCACAACCTATAGCGGCAGTGGCTGCTTAGTTAACATTTACAAGTTCGTTCTAAATAAATGTATTGTGAAAACATATTTTATGGAGAATTTAACTACATTACTCTAATGTTTTAAATGTTGATACATCTTTCTATAAAGTTGGTTAAAATTAGAGAAGTTTGAGTTAGAATAAAACTAAAGTGATCTATAAATTGATATAGAGGCTGTACTTATGTTATTGAACATTATTTTTGTAGCCCAAGCGAAGTGATCTGGATATGAACCACCACGTCAACAATGTCAAATACGTGAGGTGGATGCTTGAGGTAAAGAAAATCGATTAATTTTCTACTGTGCCAGAACATTGCCTTCACGTATTACTTCTGGTATAACAGCTGTGCTGGTGAGAAAAAGAGATATCTTATAGTTACCTCAGTAGAAACGGCCGTTCTCCTTTTATGTAGGCTATAAGAGCAACTCTATTAGGGATTTAGATTTCTTATATTGCAGCTCCTATAAATTGTTTTAGAAGAGTACCTAAAATAAATTTAAAATATAAGAGAGCATTGTTGTAGCAAACTACCTAAAACTTGTCTCCTTTATTTTGGAGGAAGGAGATTGTTTTTAAGGATATCTCTTAAAAATTATAGGTACATGAGATGAGATAGGTGCTACATCACTTTCATCTCCTAAAATGCTACTTTTTAGGTATAGAAGTTTAGATAATATATCTTGTGGAGATGCTCTAAGTAATTTGTTAAGAAGCGGGCATCACATGTAGTAGCATGTTACGTATGTCTGTTATTTCCGTCGTTCCAAAACATAAGGTGTTTTTGTTTTGTTCTAAGCTATTTTTCTCTAATCTATAGAAAAAAATATTAGCATCTATACCAAATAATACACTACCAAGACATGTATCATTATGGTGGTTTTTATAAAACTAATTTGATGTCATAGGCGTTAATATATTTTTCTATAAATATGGTCGAAGTTTGAGAAGATTGACAGAGAGAGGGTTTGTGTTTGTGTGTGTGAGAGAGAGAGAGTATGGCTCAACCACAAGCACAAGCACTAGGATATCTCTAATTACATACCTCTTTTGTGCTACGCAGACTCTTCCTGATCACTTCTTGCAGCAGAACCAGCTTAGCAGCATCACCCTGGAGTACAGGAAGGAATGTGGGAGCTCAGATGTTGTGCAATCCATTTGTCAACCTGATGAAGACTCAATTCCACCACAAGAAAATGTCAGTATGGTCATTGGACCTTCACTTTCGCCGGAAATCATCAGTGGCCACCACAGCTTGGCAGGTGCACTCCAACAGAGTCCAATGAAGTACACGCATCTTCTGCAACTGAAAGCAGGTGACAAGTACGAGGAGATCGTGCGAGGGAGAACTACGTGGAAGAAAAAAGCATATAAAGCTCCCTGATGTGTGTCTCTTTGGAAACGTGCTTTCTATACTGTGAAAAACAAAAGGTTGGATTCCACTACTATTTCATAGTTAGTCATACCTTCTTGGTCGCAATTACTCTGCAATCAACTGCAGAGAAGCCTCAGGAGTCTTCCTGGTGATATCAACCATACAAAAGCGATGTTTTAAAATCATCCTCCATGTGATTTTCCTGGTCTCCTGCAACTAAAAAGAACAAAAGTAAGACTATTTTTTCGTGCGACTTTTTTGGGTCGCTCTTCCCTCCCATCCGTGCGATACTGCAGTTCAAACGCACGGCGCCGGCAGGTGACACCTCCTCCCCGCGACTCCAAATATTCGCTCCAAAACATTCCTTTCCAGTCGCGATATCTTCTCCCCACCGATCCCGTCGCGCCCTGCTATCCCATCGCGCCGCCATCGCCTCGCCGGCCTCGCTCCTCCGCCGTCGCCGTCGCCCGGCAGCCTCGCTGCGGCCTCCCTCGCCAAGCCCCGGCGACCCAGTCAGCTAGGGCATCGACGGTTCAGACGTCGTCCCCCCCTACCGCCTCCCCTCCCACGCCGAGGATGGATCTAGATGAGGCAGCCCGACCGGTGAGTAGACCGGCGCCCGTCGCCCTCGGCTGATCCGGCGACGAGGCAGACCGGATAGAGGGGAGGCGCTCGCCCTTGGTGGATCCGGCGAGGAGGCATCCTAACCTAGGTGGAGGCCGAGGGTTCAGGTGAGGAGGCACCATGGGCGAGGGCAGGTGATGGTGAGCACCTTCTTCGCCGCTCCCTTGTCTCTGCACTGGAGCCGCGTAACCCGTCGCACCGGAGCTGGATCAAGGAGGGCACGGATTCGCCAGCCCCCGGCTGCGCCCCCCGCACCCGCACCGCTGCGGTCGCCGCTGCGGAGTGCCCGCCGTTGGGGCAGGTGGAGGCGGCGCCGAGGAGCCCCGTGGTGCACACCAGGCTGTGTGCCGGCGTCGGTTTCTTCTCCCCCAAGGGCCTCCCGCCCGTGCGGGTGAACGGAACACGCCACTCGGACCTGCTCGGCCGCCACTCCGTGCTGCTCTCGACCGCCACACCTCGCTCGACCCAATCGAGTGACCTGCAGCCGGATAATGAAGATCCCCAATTTTCTGTGGGGTGCAACGGCGACCCGGCCATCCCCATCCAGATAGCGAAGGCAGTCTCCAGCAGTGAGCCATTCAAACCTCTGATGTATTTCCTACTTGCATCTCATCCATCCCCGTCTAGGCCTGCCTAGGCAGCTCTGGTGTGAGCAGCAACAAAATCATTAAACCCTTTTAACTTGGAAGCACGTGACGATCACAGGTTATTTAAATCCGATTCCCTTTGAATGTTACGTGGTTTCACTATACATCCTTTTTTAGATTTGTTTTCCTTGATCAGGTTTTGCGTGAGCATCAAAGAATAATTGCTTGTTTTCTTGTATCCATGTGTTTTGAAAGTTCGATCTCACAGAATACTAGAGTTGTTACTTTACCAAGGTTTTTTTTCTATTAGATAGATCTACCACTGTTTTGGTTTCCTCTGTGATTTAGTAACTATATTTTTTAATCACGTCACAACCTGGACACATTTTTTCATATATACTAGATGCTTCTTGTTAATTATTTATCATAAATTTTTATTTTGTAAATCTAGAGTTCAGTTTCTTGTGCCATCAAATATATCTCAATTATACCTGTGCTATCAAATATTTGTCTCAACTATACCATAACCTGGTGAGTTACTATAGTATTTTTTTTCTAGGCGACAGGGGAACGAATGGGCAGTAGAGATTCTTGTGTGCTTGTTCAATGAGAGTTTGCTTAATTATCCAATCTGAGGAGCTCCTGCCATGCTTGAGGAGGCAAATCATTCCAGAACTCAGAAAATTCAATTCACAGTCATAAAGCGATCGGATGTTTTTTTTCCTGCACTGAAGCTATAACTAGAGTCCCAAATGCCAATCTAAAGCTTAACACTACTCAAATAGGAATTTTGGTTTATTTCCAATTGATAGTCACAAAAAAAATACAGTAGAATAATATGTAAAGTCCTTGCTGTTAGGGCTATTAAGAGCAAATGTGTTACATGGTCCAGTACTCTTTAGGTTTTCACCATGTGTTGGTTGATTAGGTAAGAAAATATATATTACTGGATACACAAGTTTTTTGTTGTAATTAATGTAGGAGAAGCGGCTATGGTGCGGCGGCGAGGGAGGAGGGAATGGGCACACAAGCAGCCTCAAGGGGGGTCGGCTGCTGAACTTGTGGCGCTCGCCGTCACTGTCGAGGGCATCCAACACCACCAGTGCGCTCTACGGGGTGTAGGAGGCTAAGGGCAGTGTCGACGTTTTCGAGGGCGTTAGGAAGAGCATCGGCTGGTGAGTAAAGCGCCACCCAAATTCGCAGGATTCGAGTTCATGTCGTTCTGCCCATATCCTTTTGTTGAAATTCAGTTGGACAAGAAATAGGCCAACAATTTTTTTTCTTCTGTTGGAAGGGGTCTCTATTCTGCACATATGCATAGGTCCAGATGTAGATTCCTAAAACAATATAGTAGAGCTTATTTCATTACTTTGTTTCTGTGAAATGCTATCAGGTTAGATGAGCCCTCAACTAATTTGTGAAACAAGATCACAACTAATATCTGGGCTTCCCGCACATGTCCTCATGATTTGGCAGCATGGCCAAGCGGTAAGGGAAGGGAGTGCAAGGTGTCACTGCTCTCTGCTTGCCGACACGACCAAGGTGAGTGTGGGAAATATGGAATGGTGTCTGTGTCTGAAGGTTTTCATCATCTTTGAAGTATATTTTCTCATGTAAATGGTGTCTGAGGTTTTTTGATCAGCGGTACCGAGGGATTGCTGTTGGAGTTGGTCAATCAGAGATATTAGGAAAAATACATGTAATGTAATATTTTTATATATGCAATTTGAAAAGTGTTGTTACCAAATTAGTCTAATGATAAGAAAAAAATATTTTTTTCTTACTTGAGATGGCTGATGAAGAAAGACAAACTCCCATATTTCGTGGAAGCCATGTGAAGCATATATGTTCCAGGCACTTGTAATCTTTTGATAATCGCGAACAACTTTAAAACCACTAACTGTGAACTAACTTGTGGACCTTGGTTTTGACAGGGCATCTGTAATTCAAGCGCTCAAACTGTTGGACAGGAATGAGGAGCAAGCTGCTGCATTCTTGTTTGGTGGTTAGACTCCTGAGAGCAGCCGTTTGTGGCTCTCTGTTTGTTGAACCCTTTCCTGGGTTGAATATTGATATGAAGTGACTAAAGAAGTAGGAAACTGCTTGGGCAGTTAAAGGACTTACTTTTAGATATGCTTCATGCTTTCTCTTGTTCCTAAGAACAAACACTTGTTTTCTGTAACTGATACATAGACCGATAGATACCTAAATGCAGGCAAAACTGTTAAGAATTCTCCTCTTATTAAACTGACGGTTTGGGGGCTTTAAGTGAGAACGAACTAGGAAAAGAAACCACATCCACTGTGCCCATCAATTTTAAACATCTACTGTGCCCATCAATTTTGAATGATGACCGGAGAGAGTGTACAGTTCTGAATCCCACCCATTTTAGAATTCCTGGTAAGCAACAACTTCAATTTGGTTGACCTTCATTTACTACAGCAGTAGTGTTCTATTTATGTTTGAATATGCACATGGTAGTCACCAGATAAGTGACAGTTTGGTTTGTACTTCAATTGCCTCAGGAAGTGCTGTGTGCTAAAACTTTCTTATCTACATCTTATAAAAGCATGAGCATGTAAATGGGTTTTGTCTGCCAAGACAGTGGTGCAAATATGATCTCCTGTGACCAATTTGGCTGAAGAGGTTGGAGTGTTACTAGATGGGATTAACTAACTGTTTTGGACAGCCAGAGAAATGATAGATGTCTGCCTCCAAGTGATCCACACTTGGGATGAGTTCATCGCTGCTCTGAATGACAAGCTTGACCTTGGCACCATAGTGAGATGAAGAGGAAGTCAACAAAGATATGAAAGTCCGAACAAAAAGGGATGGGAAACTTGGAGATGCCAAAACAATATGCACTCAATTTGACTACCCATAACTTATAGAAAGAACCCTGTGCTTACTTTGATTCTAGAAGGCCTACAAAGATGTGGCTGTTTTGCAGGCACAACTGTCGATGCGGGACCCACGGGATACACCGCAAGGAAGAGAGGAGATCTAGTTTGATTAGGATTCCTCCCATATAATCCTAGTAGTAATATTACCCTGTAATCCTATTAGGACTCTACATTGTAAACCGATTAGGACTCTGGCCTCCTGACGATATAAAGGAGGGCAGAGCTCCTTAGATCGGGGAGCAGAAGAGAGTTAGAGAACACTGGACAATCAATCCAACGCAAAGGCTAACGCCGACTAGACGTAGGGCTATTACTCGATCACGGTCGAGGGTCCGAACCAGGATAAATCGACTGTCTCTTGCGTTTACCGTCGAGTTCTGCATACGCTGAAGCCCGAACAAACTGCCCCGGGTACCCCCGTGGTAGGCTATCGGTGGTGAAACATCGACAAAAACTAATGATCTTTAGGGGCCTTTTGATGAGTGAATAAGATGGGAGTTCATATGATTCAGATCCTGTTTGTATAAACTTGTACCTTAATATAAACCCAAGGTTGACACCGCATTGTTTTTTTTTCCTTTTGCGAAACCAGTGTATAGGTTGTTCATCACGAGATCAGACATACTTGTTTATTTTAGGTTGTTGTTATTTTGCTGATTTTTGAGTTGACATCCATTGTTTTAAGGCATCTATCATGCACATGTATTTCATAGCTAGAAAACCCTTGCCCATCAATTAGTTCCACTCCCTATACTATTTATATTTTTTCTGAATCCACAGGTTCATCAGTTAGGTCCAGTTCAGTGAAATTTTAGTACAATACCTATAATGACAATGTTCCTTTACAATCCTATTATGTTATCCAGTTTTTTAGTGATTGTTTAATAACTGACTA